AAAAAAAAGTAGATCAAAGTTTTTTTTACACATTTTCAAATGTAAAAAAACAAAAAGAAGATCTACTTTTTTTACATACTTTCAAAATGTTGAAAAAACGTATATATACGTTTGGACCATATAGGGTTAAAATTAACTTAAGATTAACTAAGCAATGATATATTCAGTGGTAAAAACATTATTGTAAACAGATAACAATTTAGAACAAATGAGTATTTCAAAGACAGGTCATATGGTCATTTACTGTGTTTGGGTGAGCATTCCCTAGAATTTGGGGTATTCTGTTAGGTAATGTAATTAAAAAAAATAAAGTTTGATTGGGTCACAGGTTAGACATTTTTGAGATACAATAATGGAAGAAACATTTATGAGATACAATTTAAGTGATTACAATTATTCAGTATTTATTTAGCTGTGGGTGAGTAAGTGATTTTTTGGGAAAAAGACTTGAATTAATAAACAGACAGTGTTTCTTTTATATTCACAGGGAGTGAATTCCAGATTTTAGGGCCTTTTATGTGCATCGAGTTTTTGCATAGCATAAGGTGGACACGAGGAACATCAAAGAGTGATCTGTGCCTTGTGTTTTTTGGTAAAGTTCTGTTGAGGCTGGTATGGAAAGACGTTTGAGGGGAGGGTTTATATCAGAGTTAAGTGTTCTATATAGTATATGTAGGTGAAGAATAATACAAATTGTTGGTTTTGAAACCATAAAACCCCGGCTGGATTGAACTTGCGGTCAGAGAGTCTCAAAACTCCAGCCCGTCGCGTTAACCCACTAGGCCACTAGCCACAATAAGAATCGTCCAATTTGGGTATATTTCTTACCCATAGGAAAGTTTGAGACTTTTTGACCGCGGGTTCAACCCCGGGCGGGTTTATGGTTTGTTTGCAATCGGTCATTATGATTTCGTAGTCATGGATGTTTTGTATGGTGAGTAGGTTTAGAGTTTTGAATATTGGTGGAGTGTGCTTTTCTGTAGTGGGTTTTTATCATCTTCTGACTGCAGCCTTTGTTGGTGATTGTGGTCTGAGATGGTTTATTGTTTTTGAGCCCCATGCACAAATTCCATAGGTGAGATAGGGGTAAATAAGTAAGGGGATATAGGGCCCAGGAGAGCTGACTGGGAACATAGCACTGTATCTTCGATAGTATGCCACGGTCTTGGAAATTTTTTTTGGAAATTTGTTGTATATCTTTTATCTTTGGCACCCCAAACTTACCTACCATGCCTTATAATTATTGTAGTTTCCCTCCCTTCCCTACACAACAATTACTTTCTCACTCCCTTTAAAAAACTATCTAAACACTTGCTAACATATTGCAAAATCAATCAATCTCTCACTCTCTCTACACTCCTCTCTTCTCTAGTGCATAAACACTTAGTATAACCCACTTCTAGCATTCTTACCCTTATTTTAAAACACGAATCCTTTAATTTAAACATTTATATTCTTATTACCTTTCTTTCCATAACTGACCATTAAACATTACTGCAACTCCTTCCTTAGCTCTAATTCTCTCAGATACACCTGCCCTAATCCCATCTTTTTCTCCCCACTGCAATTCTCCTTGTCCTGGTTAAGATAGGACATCCAGCTTTTCATTCATAATCAACTTTTTTTCTGACTAAAACCCATACACATTCAAACTTTACACTTTGTATTTTAATACATATACATTTATTATTATTATTATTATTATTATTATTGATACAAAAAATTAGTTAGTTAATCATGTCTGATTAATTTTTAAAGACACTAGAACCTAAAGGAAGATCTGGATAGACTGATGCAGTGGCTGGAGAAGTGACAGATGCAGTTTAATGTAGACAGAATTTAAGGGTCTAAGCCTATGAAAAGAGAATAACAATGGTACTTAAACTGAATAATGTATACCTCAATCACACTGAATGCAAAAAAAATAAGATTTAGTTCTGTTGAGCAGTAATCTAAAAGCCTCACTTTGATTATGCTGTGCAGTTCAGTCTCCATATTAAAAGGGGGGGGGGGATATTTTTGCATGGTAAACTAGAGAAGGATGACAAAAGATCCCGTGTATACAAACTTTCCTAAAAGGATTTTTACAGACTATGAAGGGCACTGAATCTAAACCCTGAAGAATGTAGAATTAGGGAAGAAAATAACTGAGGTTGTAAATGGAAGACAGGAATAAAATAAAGGGATATAAATAATGTTCTAAAAATATCTAAAACCCGAATTCCAACAAAAGGGGAAACAAAGGGCAAAGCCTGAAAAAAACAATTTTGAAAGGATATAGAAAAGCATTTAATTGGGGTGAGGAGTTGGAAAGAGTGCAAAAAAGCTCCCGATAAGTGCACTGAAGTGGAAAACCTTGGGTAATTTAAAAAAAAGGTTAGATAATTTTTGTCATGAATGGTGTTGGTGGGGAGGGTTTGACGCAGCATGGGCAGTAGGCTGCTTCAAACGGGTTCTCCTTTCTCATGTTATTTAGATATTAATCCTGCAAGGGTCATTCAGTAAACACTTCATATTATGCAACCCTGCTTTAACTTTTTCATTATGATGATAATGAGGGAGAAACACTCAACCCGCAGGAAGCGTCAGCACCTGGGGGCTGGGACGTAATCATGTTTGATCCAAGGAAGGAAGGATTGGTACAATTTCCTGGTTCAGTAGCCCTTCACCGGCATCATAGCACCTCCCTGAATCAGGCTATGACATAAAGCTTACCTTTAAAGCTTTGTCCCACAGAAGTTTCAGCTTAGCCATCCTAAACGGGTTCCTCTCAAAGTGAACCTTAGTATTTGCTGCCTCAGAATACTTGTTGGCCAGGGTATGTGCTCCCAGGGTTCCATGATGATGGTATATACCAAAATACGTGGTCCTGGACACACCATTGTGAAGCAATGGCTCATAGAACT